TCACACACAGAACATTCGCACAAACACAATCACATCAACACGCATACACTCAGACAAACACGAATGAACGCAAGAGGAAACAAAACTTTGAGAGACTTTGTAGTAGCACATGGAGGTAGAATGAGAAAGGAAGAAAGAGAGAGAGAAAAAGAGAAAGAATGGGAATAATGAGAAAGAGAGAGAGAGAGAGAGGGGGGGAGAGAGAGAAAGAGAGAGAGAGAGAGAAAGAGAGAGGAAACAGAGAGAGGATTTGATTGAGGAGCATTTGTAAGGAATCATTGGTGCATTGTGCCCGTGGGCTTGTAAAGAATTATTGAATGTTTTCAATGCTGCCATCATCACTTAATCGTGTTGATGATGGTAACAATGATGATGACGTGATGATGATGATGGTGGTATAGTTCCCACCATCATCATCATCACCATCACCATCACTATCATCACCATCACTATCATCACCATCACTATCATCACCATCACCATCATAATCATCGTCGTCGTCATCGTCATTATTTTCACGATTATTGTCATCACCGTTATTTTAATTTTAGTCATCAAATCATGGAGATGCTGTAGCTGATGATGACGATGATGATGATGAGGCTGATGTTGATGATAATGCTAACGATGATGATGGTGATGATGATGGCAATGGTATGATGATGGTTGTGATTGTGATAAACAGAAAATGATGACAAACTAGGCCTCATTCTTTTGAAAATATAATAAACATTTAATCTACAAATGTTACCGAAAAGAACTACACAGCAGAAACAATATCATCATCGTCATCGTCAACATCGCCATCATCATCATAATCTTCATCATCATCAGTATCATCAATCATCATCATCGTCATCATTATCATCACCATCATCATTCTCATAACATCGATGATGAAATTAACCGGACGAACGCTACAAAAAATACGACAACAGTAACCTGTGACGTAACGATGACGCGATAATGCAATGACCTGTGATGACGTCATGGTGACGTAGTCATGACGTCATGGTAAGGAGTGATGACGTAATAACGAGTGGTGACGTAATATTGAGTGATGACGTAATAATGAGCGATGACGTAATAATGATTGATTACGTAATAATGAGTGATGTCGTAATAATTAAAATGACGTAATAATGAGTGATGACGTAATAACGAGTGATGACGTAATAACGAGTGATGACGTAATAATAAGTGATGACGTAATAGCGAGTTATGACGTAATAACGAGTGATGACGTAATAGCGAGTGATGACGTAATAATGAGTGATGACGTAATAATGAGTGATGACGTAGTAATGAGTGATGACGTAATAATGAGTGATGACGTAATAATGAGTGATGACGTAATAATGAGTAATGACGTAATAACGAGTCATGACGTAATAACGAGTGATGACGTAATAGCGAGTGATGACGTAATAATGAGTGATGACGTAATAATGAGTGATGACGTAATAATGAGTGATGACGTAATAATGAATGATGACGTAGTAATGAGTGATGACGTAATAATGAGTGATGACGTAATAGTGAGTGATGACGTAATAATGAGTAATATCTAACCTGTGTTGTCGGAGTCACTTCCCTTGCATGCAGAAGCTTTGCGATCTTCATCATCTTCGTCGCCATCTTCATCATCACGTGACATTTCCTAATTGCAATAATGATAATTAATTAATTAATTTATTAATTAC